GAAGAGGAGAAAAGTACAAACGGACGACGGAGTAAGAAATCTCTTCAAACTTCTTCAAGTAACTTTGATTGTCTGTCGTCACGCAATCCGTTGCCTAAGCCAAAATGTCGCGTGACATATCGATTCTGTTTTCAATTTACTCACGATTTTGTTCCAAATGTGGCTGTTATCAGAAATAATTCGTAGCCGCGTGTATAATATTTTAGCCTCACTGCAATTTTCTTTTCTCTTTGTTAGATCTTACATTTTTCTTTGGAGATTTGAAACACTATTAAAAATATTTTTCCTTGCAGTCAGACGCTGGATGGGAAGAATACTATGATTACATCTTTCCTGACGATGAAGCCAACATGCCTAACTTTAAACTGCTCCAGATGGCCAGGCTTTGGAAAAAGAACCAACAACAAATGGAATAATTATTTTTGTAGTTGTTGTGGCTTCTGGTTTTTTTTTTTTTTTGCTGTCATATAAATATCACTAATTGTGTGCAGAATGTTTACCAAACAATAGAATAAAACTTCAATCTGTTCACTGTAAAGTGTTGAGGTCAGTCTTAAAGGAGTGGTTTTGTAGTTTGAAAAGGGAGGGGTGTGGGGTAGGAGTATTAGAGGGGGAAGTGTAAGTGGCATAAATGTGACCTCATGGTTCGTGACGTCATAAGTAGTAACGGAGTGAAGACTGGGCACTAGTGACAAAATCAAACAGACAAGACTTGTGCATTTATATATTACTTTATTGTTTATAAACTCAAGCCATTAATTTTTAGTTAATTAAATTATTTCCTTTTAAAAAAGTGTTGATGCAAGTCTAAGAAAAACATTTGACAATGAAATCTCCAACTTGATTTTTCAATATTAGAATGTTCCTTTTCTAGCAAGCTGACATTTTTCACTATCTTGGAAACCCAGTTCTAAAAAGTATTCTAAAATTGGCTATCATTAAGCTCTGATTTCACAGAAACCTAAATTTGTCAAAGATAAATTATCAAGATATTTATTATTGGGTTTTGCTGGTCATGTCACCCATCAGTAAGTGCTCAAATATGAAATATGCATACTCACTAATGAATGACATCTAAATATATATTTCTGCATATACCATTACTAAGAAATTATGCTCGTGTTTTGAACTATTGTCGATGTGAAAAAGAATCTTATTAAAAAATAAATAGCCACTATTTCTATAAATATTCGAAAGTGATCCAACACTAAATCTAAAACAGAATGACAAATCTCCTACTACCTGGCCTCAAAAAAAAATTAACAATTTGCTATTTGTGCATGTAAAGACGTTATTATTGATAAAGTTACTGATATAGTTTACCACTCACTGTTTTCTAATCAGATTTTGAGGTAAAACCTCTTTCATGGTCTTTAGCAGTAATCTTGTGGAAAATTTTGTGACATAAATTATTTTGCCCCAAATTTGTCTTTGCCAGTTTTAGTGTTTGACTTTAATTCATGTACATTAGTTCACCTTCTTTAGATTGGCGTTTCTTCTGCCTCATCAAGAGGGCGAAATTCTGGGTTGTAACTGTGAGAAAAGAATCAACCGTGTAAAGCCTTAATATTGCATAAACAAGGGTACGTAAGGAAGGTTTGCGTTAAGGGATGGGGGTGGGGAGGGAATGTGTCCCAAGGCCCTGATCCCTTAGATGAAAAAATCTGATCATAACATGTCAGGCAAATTACGGAGAATGCGATAAAAAATTGTTAGTGCTGCGCATGAAAACCGTGCATGGCCAACGTTCACGCCTTGTTCAGGACTTGCGGTCTAGAGAGACATCCTGTCCAAGACGTTACAAAATCGTATGTCCTGTTAAACTCTTATATCAAGACCTTGGTTAACCCTCGATCAGGCGTTCTTATCTTCCGGGAGAGGGGGAGGTGACACAAGAGTAGGCGGAACGTGTTCCCGACCACTGACTCTTGCGCTGCTACGCCATCGCGCGCCTGGTCGCAGGTTAAGACAACAACGGTCACATCCAACAGGGCAGGTTGTACTTGGTTACGCTCAAATTGTTTTCAAGAGAGGGAATTTTGAATTTCACCCGAGCCTGGATGTAGCATCAATTTGGAGATGATTTTGGGGCAGTATGAGCGATCAAGCAAGCAGAAACAAAACAAAAACATTTACCGCCTCCCATAGGAACAAGTATACAAAGGGTATGTTCACCTACCCCTGGTAAATTTCTTGGTATGTACCCAGTCTCCTCGCGGTTTTTCGGTTAAATTTTTTTGCCATATGATACAGTTGTAAATCTGTCATTGACCAAGCTTGTTCTGTCAAGATGGCTAAAAATTAGCCTCTTCTTTTTTTGCAAACACAAAAAAGAACCCACTAATTAATGTAAATGAGACTGGTGGCAGCTTCATATATTGGCATTCAATGTAATTCTTAACCTACACACTGTTATATTTTGCAAAAAAAATTTACTGCTTCAGTCCTATCATCAGAAAGCTACATATTTTAAGGAAAATTATGTATGGTAATACATGTTTGAGCTTATACATGTATATCTGTGTACATGCAGGTTCCCTGAGAATTTTTTGTTCTTCCATTTAAGAATACAAGTCTCCCAGCTGATGAAATCCTAATTTTTAGCACATGTCCACAGGAAACATTGACATATTGTCAGAAGGAGAATTTCTGTTCTAATCACCACTGCTTTAACCCCTTGGCCCTTTAACTCCCAGAAGTGATTAACTCGAAACTTCTCTTTATAACATCCTCACATTGATTAGCCAACAGGTTATGAGAATACTCAACCGGATCAGGTAGAAGTTGATATCTTGATCTAACAACAAATTTGCACAACTAATTAACAAGTGTAGCAGCTAGAGGGGAGAATTAAAATCAAGATCTTGGGAGTTAAAGGGTTAAAATCAAAAGGGGGAAGGTTCACAGCACATTCAGGTGGATATACCTGGTGGTCATAACCTCCTTTTCTTTACCACTGCTAACAGTAGTTTTGCCCATTGCAGTCACCATAAGTAGAAAGTTGAAAAAGATGATTAAAAATGAACATAATTCGAAAATGCAATGACAAAAATTTTCACCTGTTTCTGAGAAAATTTTTATTTACATGTCGAAGGTAATTTTTGATCGGTAAATTGTTTATCAGGATAAGGGATTTTGAATGAATTACTTTGGTTGAAAACTTTCGCGGGGTGAAAATTAATTATGGTTACCCTTGGCTGGCTTTTTATGGAGTGATTGGAAACTTAAGAGTTGAACTTGAAATCACGTACTCCAGAGCATGCATGTATAATTTCCCAGTTACGCTGCTAATGAAACATATATGCACGTCTGGATCTGTTGCCATTTAAAGTAAACCTCATAAAGAAATTAAATGTTTAATTTTTTTTCTTGGAAAATTTTTCTTAACTAAATTGCTGATAGAGCTCTGTTATCCCTTTAAAGCTAGCATTGGTATGCATATTGTCCATACTGCTCTATATGCATTTCTTAAGGTGTTGATAGGAAGAATTTTTAATTAACAATCAAGAGCTTCTCAAGTTGGTGATCATTTCCTTTATTGTCTTGACCTTAATATTTGATGTGGAAGGGAGCGTAATTAGATGCTAGTCACCAGTGAACTCGCCACCAAGGAACGATCTCGCCACCAAGCGAAGTCTTCTCGCCACCAACCACCAATAAAGAGATAAACTAGAATAAAGTAGTCGAGGAGAGTAGGATGTTCGAACGAGCACAATTCAAATCAGCCGATACGTTTGTGCGCTTGTCTGTATTTAAATTATGACCTTCAGCGGCGTGTTAGATGTGTTCCGTTCCCAACTCATTGACATCGAAACGTATCGTGTTTGTCTTTTGCTCGTAAGCGAGGAGAAATTGCAAAACACGATGCGAGGAATAAAAACTTACTTCGGTTTCGAACGTGCTATCAACAACATACATTTATAAAGTTTGAGTACAGACAAGCGAACAAACTTATCGGTTTCGAACGTGCTTTCGACAACATACATTTATAAAGTTTGAGTACAGACAAGCGAACAAACTTATCAGCCGAACATCCTACTCTCCTCGACTAATCTCTTTATTGGTGGTTGGTGGCAAGAAGACTTCGCTTGGTGGCGAGTACGTTGGTGGCGAGATCGTTCCATGGTGGCGAGTTCGCTGGTGGCGAGTCTGCTTGGTGGCGAGGTAACTGGATACCGTCATTGCAATGGTCTCAAACAAAAATAATTTTGAAGCTGACCTAATTCATGCTATTGGATCTGTTGAGGTGTCTATCTTGATTCCCTTGTTTTCTAAGCCTGGATGAAAAATTTCCTGAATGATCAAATATTTTTGTACATTGATTGTCTCAATTGAAAATATGAGCAAAGTTTTTAAAGATTCATAGAGGCTCAAGACTAATTTGGTAATGAGCCCTGAATAGAGTGTGACTGAAAATTTCATACAATGAGTATATTTAACATATTTTTATTCATCCAAACTACAGAACTACCAGGAAATGAAAAACAGTTTATTCTCAGAATTACCACCTGTATGTACAGTGCATCAATTGATTATGATTGGTAAAGTGGAATTAAGAAGGAAAACAAATCCACCTGAGTGCTAAATGGGTATGTCATATAAACATGCTTATATTGAATATTATACATTAAGTTGTTCAAAAGTTCAACCAATAGAAGGCAAACCAGTTGGTTGTTTACAATGCTCCAGGAACAAAATGTCCTTGGGACTAAAGAGAAATAAATCTTATTTGGAGGCAGAGTGGATGGTTAGGACCGGGGAACTCTGGATCTCAATTCCAGTGCCTTCACCCTTTAACTCAAGAGGTGATTAATATACCCAATGAAAACCTTTTTACCTAACTATTTGAAACCCCTTGTACAAGGCACAGAAGTTTGAGCTTCTTATTAATTGTCTCTTTTTTTTTTTTTTTTTTTCTTGAAGTTTTCCCCAGATTACATTGGACCACCTGGTAGTTCTTTGTCCTGACATGAGCTGTGTCCTCCTGAAATATCTGCTCTTCTCATTCGACCAGATGAAGTGAAAGGCAGACCACAACAAGACTGGTTAAATCTATCTTAGACTCGTTTAAGTCTCCTTTTCTGAAGATAATTTTCCTATATATCTGACTGCTTGTGGGCCATTAGTCAATTTTGTGCTTACCCTCCCCCTAAGGGCTAACAATGCATTTACACCGTTGAGTGTTTGCCATTTGTGAAAAAATTTTACCTTAAAAAAGAAAGTATTCGACTTAGGTTTCCGCGGGCATACAACATTTGAATGATTCATAGAATTGTAACAGATTTACCTCAGAATGTGTATTTTACTTGCTTTTTTGCAAGAGACTAGTATACGCCCATCTGGCGCTGTTACAATTCGACTTGGACCTTGTAAAGGAACGGTAGTTTTGCCTGTAAAGCGACCGTCTAAAGAAAACTGCTGAACTCTGTTATTGTTTGAGTCACAAACAAGAAGGTTATTAGAGCCGTCTAAACACATGCCACGGGGTGCGTCGAACTGTCCGTCTTGATTCCCTTTTTCGCCAAACTTGTACTGGAAAGTGTTTGACGTATCAAATGCTTTTATGACGTGATTGTCTCTTTCAGTTACCAGGAAAATGTTTTTGTAAGGAACGCAGCCGTATGGTGTGCTGAGTTTCTCTGGACCATTGTCTCCTATTGTGAATAGAGCTTCGCCCTCTTTTGACATTACTTGAACTCTATTGTTATTGAATTCAGTGACAACAATACGTTCTGTATCGGCAAGGCAAATACTAAGTGGAGTCTTGAAGTTTCCTTTTCCCTCACCTTCTTTTCCAAAGGTTTTTACAACAGTACCTGTCTGGATATTTATGTGTTGTATTCTGTTATTTGATTGATCTGCAATAAGAATTTCGTTGTTGTTTAAAAATGACACCCCATTTGGATTTTTGAATTGTCCAGGACCTGTTCCTTCTTTTCCAATTTGTTGTAAACAGTTCCCTTCTTTATTGAATACGAAAACACAGTGTCCGTAATAATCTGCAACAGCTATGTCGCCTTGCCTGTTAACGGCGATTCCACTTGGTCCCTTGACCTCCTGCCCTTGGTTGAACTTCAAGTCAAATTCACCGACTACGACAAGTTGACGTTCTTTCACTGCCAAAGTGAACGGACAGGTCGGAAGCTTTTCGCCATTAATCTTCACCTCAACGCTGTAGGCGCCAGGCACTTTAGGTGTAAACTTCAGCCTAAGATTGCCGTCTCCTTTTTCTTGAACAGTCACGTTTGTGACATCAACGGCAGGTTTTAACAGCAATTCAACTTGATCGTGAAAATCGGCCTGGTTACAAATCTCTCCCTCTGCAGTTTTTGGACACAACGTTAACTCTACTTCTACACCAGCCTGGAAAGTTTGATCCAATCCTTTTACAGTTGATTTAGCGGCTTTTGCCGGTTTCTCGGTGAGTTGAATAAAACCCAGTTTCAAGTCTTGTTGCGATGCCGCAGTAAATTTGACAAATGTTGTCGGATGATGCCTTGAAATCTTAACTTCACAAAGCTTTTGAAATTTCTGCTTCAAAGTTGTCATGTTGGATACAATATGCAAGCCAGACCATCTCTGAACGAGACCTTCCGCTAATTTAGCCGCCTGGTTCATTTGTTTTACCAGAAATTCCAGTTCTTGCTTAGCCGATTTAATTTGCTCTATTTTCTTTCTACGTGTCATTTCTAAGGACTCTAACAACTGTTTTTCTTGCTGTCGCGTCTCTATGATCACGTGTTGAGCTGCTTCAGACACGTCTTGTTTAGCGATTGCGATAATCATTTCCACATCCTCTGAGGTTTTTTCAAGTTTTCTAATCTCTTCTCGAAACAACTTTGTTTTTTCCTTGATGGTGTCGACGTTCAACATGATGTGTTTCTTATCTTCTTGCACTCTCTTTTCAATAACGTCGAACTCATGGCCTCGGTGATCTTCGGCGAAGCAAACAGGACAAATACACGCTTCGCAGGAAGAGCAGAAATATCGTAATCTTTCGTTCTTGTGTTGCGAGCAAAACGGCGGCTTCAGTAAGGCCTCGCGATCTTCCGTTTCAAGGAGACCTACCAAACTATTATGGTGAAAGCTGGTAGGCAAACAGTCGAAACGATTTCCTTCTGGTAAATTGATTTCCGCTTGACACTCGGGACATCTGAATTTGCCTTGTCTGTGGGTTTTTGTCGCATGTTCTTCCAAACACTTACAACAAAAAGTGTGGAAGCACGAAATTATTTTGGGGTCTGTGTAAGTATCGAGACAAATTGAACATGTGACTTGTTTCTTGAGGTTTTCCACGAGAGGTTCCATTATGATCGCCTTGAAGTACAGATTATTCAAGCGAAGAATACAAACAGACAATTGTGAATAATAATTTTTGATTCCGAGAAGCTAGAACAAAGTCCATGACAGCTGAGTTTTTGTAACCAATCACTTTTAAGGATGTAATAGACCTTTTTGCAACGATCTGTCGGCGTTATTTCCTGAAATATCTGCTCTTCTCATCGACCAGATCAAGTGAAAGGCAGACCACACAGAGAATAGTTAAATCTATCTTAGGTAATTTAGTGTTAACAACTGAATTGAAAACGTAAATTGGCCACCGTGAAGGGTAAAAAGGCTGACGTTTCGAGCGTTAGCCCTTCGTCAGAACGATTGGAGGAATTGTGGTCGTGTGTGGGTTTATATGCATAAAATGGAGCAACGCTATTTGTGGGAATATGGTGACGAGAAAACAGGAATAAATTAGTTGAATGAAAAGCGCCCGTTGATACCGTGGAGATTAAGGGTGCCGATTTGGAAGATAAATTTTTGTTCTTGTGTTCAGCGGCTTTCCGAACTGCCTAGATGTAGGGAAAGGCCGCAAACTGCCATATGTTGTTTTGAATGATTAGGGAGAGTAAAGCGTCTAGCGTCCTTGTCATTTCTTTCCACGTCGCGAAGGTGTTCTCGGAATCGCATCCAAACCAGTCGCTAGATACTCATGGGGCATAAGTCAATTTGGTGCTTACCCCAATTTTGTGCTTGGTTTATGTATTGGTCAGTCGCGCCGAAACCTGGAAACCGTACAACGCTCCTTTTAAATGTTATCACAGAAGGGGGGAGGGGGGAGGGGGGAGGTATTACTGAATGCTGATTGGCTGAGGGGGGCAATTTATTTTCTGAATCACGAGGGCACTTTTGGTAATCAAAAGGGCATGATTACTTGATTGAGTGTTTTTGCTGTTTGCGGCAACGATTTATTGATTGCAATTTAACAGAATGAAGCAGTGTAACGCTATTAGCTGTATCCCACCACATATGCGGGACTATAACGTCCCAGCAGTTTTGTCACGCACAGTGTTCATTTCCACTAGGCAAAAAAAAAACGCCGTCACGTGCATGATCAGACCAAACGAGGCACGGAAAGACTGTCGTGTTTGTTGAAGGCCTAAATGTAATAACTGTCCTAAATGAAATAAAGTCCTAAATGTGATAACGTTTGGTCCTAAATGTAATAAGCCTCCAATGCAATCGTTTAACTCCTTCAGTGCATTGCTATTATGGCGGACATCCACATTGAGATGTTGAAGTGACAGCTGTTGCACCAAAAAACCGCCGACCATTATACATGTCACATTAGTCACACTAGTGAAAAAGTGACCCAGGAGAAGGAGAAATTTCCGAGGATTTATGCAAATAAAATGCATATAAAGCAGGACGTCGTTGATTTTGAAATGGGTGACACTGACGCAAAAAGTGGACCTGGCAGTATCGTCTGCATTGGTGACGACACGGATATTGCTATAGATATAGCTAAGGGACATACAGGCATGGAAGCCGAACAAAATGAAGTGGAAAATGGTATAACCAATGACGGTGATAAGCTGATGGAGGTTCAGTTTGTTTCAGATGTCGACATCGACTTATTTTCTAGAAAAAAATTTTATAAATAGTGTTTGCGTCATCGGCCATCCTGTTTGCTTGTAATGCATGCCACATATACGTGCAACGTCTGAAACGATTTCTTTTAAGGCTTCATGTTTCTGGTGGGTTGAAGTCTTGTTTAATCAGCGCTCGAAGCCTTTTAAAAATGTATGGTCCTTTAGGCGGTCTATTGATCGAGCTGAAGAAAATCATTTCCAGTCCAAAGTACTTGGCTGGAAGTTCAAGTGGATGAACTCGATTGGTACGTATTCATTAGAATTTTTTGGAAAAGAAATTGACTACAATTGATGATAAACTAGCATGCTATTGTTGGTGTTATCGTTCGTGTTAAAGTTGTTGGTAGTGATGCACCATTTTAGAGCAGTTTGAATTTCGCTGTGTCACATGTTAATCCAGAAGAAAAGTGTTACTATCAGTAGTGTTAGTGAAGCTCTGCACATCAGTGTTATTCAGTGTCAGTTGATTTGAATGAAGCATTTGAGTTCATTTTTTAGAATGACTATCTTGATTTATTCAATTTTAACCTGGGATATTGCATTTTTAGCCCTCTATGGCTTCACTCTACCTCGGTAATCAGTTCACGTACCATATGACTATAAGAGGAAACTGTTGAGCTTTCTTTTTTCATTTATTTATTTATCTATTAATTTTCTCCCCTCACGGCGGGGAGAAGAGATGAAGACAAAAAATGAAATGAAAACTTGAGATCGACTGTGGTATATATGTTTTCCCGATATTTCGGTTCGGGAACTGATGAACCCGTCGGGGGGCTAAAGGAAAAAAAAATTAATGTTTCATTAGACCATCAACTAACCATCATGTGTTGAATGCTGTAGCTCAAGAGTTCCATTTGACTCTTGCATGGAAAAAAGCAACATGTCGAGACTTGTGATCGTGAAATGGGATTAGATATGATAAGTCACTTTATCATATAGCTAACAGCGCGCGCGGGCAAGATCAAGTGAATCCTATGTTCTGATTGGATACCTGGGCGGACAAGATTAGCCCTCCTTCGCCCGCTCGGGATTCCCCGTATTGATACCGCGCAAGAAAACTCACAAAGTTCGTAACTTTTCGACAATGTCGGCATATACATAAAAAAAAAAATAAACGACCCTCTTGGGTTCATTGTGCTACAAAAACAGTTGGCTTTCACTGTCAGCTCTCGAAATAGACAAGTCATTCTTGATTCTCATGAAAGCGAAATCTTTTGCTATACGATGCATGCTCTGATATCCTTTCCGTGGCGTTGAGCTGAAGGTCACATCAGTCACTGCAGCCGAGTTTTACGGCGCTGTTATTCCAAGCAATCTTCATATTCCGGTAAATTCGGCTGTCGTTCATTTATAAAATACATGCTTGAACGGTTTGTTTTCTAATTGTCATGTGAAAAAATTTGCGTGTTTTTATGAGCCACAATTCGGCCGGATTTCACTGAACTTTTCACTTTCAGATTCTGTATTAGAGACTAAAAGGCTTCAGGCGAAAAGTTAAATTCGATTTGCCGAACTATTATGAACTATTCTAACAGGGATTCTGATTGGCTTATTGTAGCGTGCTTTATGAGAGTATAGAGCATGCTGACGTCACTGTTCGCTTTAGAAATAAAGTTTGTTTTGAAAGTTGAAAGTAGTTCGTGGGGAATTTAATGGATTCTTTATTATAAAACAAATAGAGAAGCTTTGACTGTGCTCTGTTCTGTTGTAAAGCACTTAGAAGCGTTAGAGCAGTCATGAAGTAGGGAGAAACACGAGACGTAGTCGAGTGTTTCTCTTTACACTTCTTTCGTGCTCTAGCCGCTTCCCGCGTGCTATACAACAGAACAGAGCACAGACAAGGCTTCTCTATTTGTTAATCATCCAAACTACAAAACTACCAAAAAAGAAAAGTACAGTTTATTCTTAGAATTACTACCTGTATGTACAGTGCATCAGTTGATTATGATTGGTAGAATGGAATTAAGAAGGAAAACAAATCCACCTGAGTGCTAAATGGGTATGTCATATAAACATGCATATAAATATTTTCTAAGTTGTGGGAAAGTTCAACTTATCGGAGGCAAACCAGTTGATTGTTTACAAAGGACTGGGAACAAATTGATTTTGGGAGTAAAGAGAAACAAATTTCATTTGGAGACAGAGTGGATGGTTAGGACCCTGGAACTCTAGAACTCAATTCCAGTGCCTTCACCCTTTAACTCCAAGAGGTGGTTGACATGTCAATTCTCCTTACAATTGCAAAATTTTATCTTGCAAACAGGTTATGAGAACATACAAGCTCATCAGCTGCTGAGTGTTATTGTGATGTAACATCAAATTCTCTTGTTGAATTTATAGAGAAATGTATGGAAGTCAGTGGAGAGAATTACTAATTGGATCTTTGCCCTGATAAGGGCTGTGTCCTCCTGAAACATCTGCTCTTCTTATTCGACCAGATGAAGTGAAAGGCAGACCTCACGAAGAATAGCTAAATCTATCCTAGACTCGTTGAAGTTTCTTTTTCTGAAGATAATTTTCCTATATATCAGACTGCTATGGGGCAGTAGTCAATTTTGTGCTTACCCTTCTCTTGGTTTCTGCAGTTGAGGCCCTCAACTACAGAAACCAAGAGGCTAACTGCATTTACACCGTTGAGCGTTTCTGCCACTTGCGAAGAAATTTTGCCTTAAAAATTTGTTCAACTTTGGTTTCCGCTGGTATACAACATTTAGCATTTGAATGATTTTTAGAATAGTAACACATTTACCTCAGAATGTATATTTTCTTCGCTACTTTGCAAGAGACTAGTATACGCCCATCTGGCGCTGTTGCAATTCGACGTGGACCTAGTAAAGGAACGATAGTTTTGCCCGTAAAGCGACCGTCCAAAGAAAACTGCTGAACTCTGTTATTGCTTGAGTCACAAACGAGAAGGTTATTGGAGCCGTCTAAACACATGCCACAGGGTACGTTGAACTGTCCGTCTTGATTCCCTTTTTTGCCAAACTTGTACAGGAAAGTGTTTGACGCATCGAATGCTTTTATGATGTGTTTGTCTCTATCAGTTACCAGGAAAATGTTTTTGTAATGAATGCAGCTGTATGGTGTACTGAGTTTCTCTGGACCGCTGTCTCCTACTGTGAATAGAGCTTCGCCCTCTTTTGACATTACTTGAACTCTATTGTTATGCAATTCAGTGACAACAAAACGTTCTGCGTGATCGAGGTGCACAGAACATGGAGCCATAAAGTATCCTTTTCTCTCACCTTTTTTTCCAAAGGTTTTCAAAACAGTTCCTGTCTGGATATTTATGTGTTGTATTCTATTATTTAACGCATCTGCAACAAGAACTTCGTGGTCGTTTAAAAGTAACACTCCGGTGGGACATTTGAATTGTCCAGGATCTGTTCCCTCTTTTCCAATTTGTTTTAAACAGTTCCCTTCTTTATTGAATACAAAAACACAGTGTCCAAGATTATCTACAACAACTATGTCTCCTTGCCTATTTACGGCGATTCCGGTGGGTCCCCTAAGCTTCTGCCCTTGGTTGAACTTCAAGTCCAATTCACCGACTATGACAAGTTGACGTTCTTTCACTGGTAAAGCGAACGGACAGGTCGGAAGCTTTTCGCCATTAATCTTCACCTCAACGCTGTAGGCGCCAGGCACTATAGGTGTAAACTTCAGTTTTAGATTGCCGTCTTCTCTTCCTTGAACAGTCACGTTTGTGACATCTTGGGTGGGTTTTATCAGGAATTCAACTTGATCGTTAAGATCAGCCTGGTTACTAATCTCTCCGTCTGCTGTTTTTGGACATAGTGTGAACTCTGCTTCTACACCGGCCTGGAAAGTTCGATCCAATCCTTCTATAGTTGATTTAGCGGCTTTTGCCGGTTTCTCGGTGAGTTGAATAAAACCCAGTTTCAAGTCTTGTTGCGATGCCGCGGTAAATTTGACAAATGTTGTCAGATGATGCTTTGAAATCTCAACTCCATGAAGCTCTTGGAATTTCTGCTTCAAAGTTGTCTTGGTCTGTATAATATTCAAGCCTGAGCTTCTCTGCACCAGATTTTCCGCAAACTCAGCCGCTTGGTTCATTTGTTTTACCAGAGTTTCCAGTTCTTGCTTTGCCGAGTGAATTCGCTCTATTCTCTTCCGACGCGTCATTTCTAAGGACTCTAGGAGCTGTTTTTCTTGCTGTCGCATCTTTGTGATCACGTGTTGAGCTGCCTCAGACACTTCTTGTTTAGCGATTGCGATAGTCACTTCAACATCCTCAGAGGTTTTCTCAAGCTTTTTTATCTCTTCTCGAAACAATTTTGCCTCTTCCTTAATGGTGTTGACATTCAACATGATGTATTTCTTATCCTCCTGTAGTGCTTTTTCAATAACGTCGAATTCATGGCCTCGGTGGTCTTCGGCGAAGCAAACAGGACAAATACACGCTTCGCAGGAAAAGCAGAAATATCGTAGTCTTTCGTTCTTGTGTTGCGAGCAAAATGGCGGCTTGAGCAAGGCCTCGCGATCTTCCGTTTCAAGGAGACCTACCAAACTATTTTGGTGAAAGCTGGTGGGCAAACGGTCGAAGCGATTTCCTTCTGGTAATTCGATATCTGCTTGACACTCGGGGCATCTGAATTTGCCTTGGTTTTGGGTGTTTCTTGCATGTTCCTCCAAACACTTGCAACAAAAAGTGTGGAAGCACGAAATTATTTTCGGGTCTGAGTAAGTATCGAGACAAATTGAACATGTGACTTGCTTCTTGAGGTTTTCTACGAGAGGTTCCATCACGGTTGCCTTGAAGTACAGATTATTCAAGCGACGAGTACAGACAGACAATTGTGAATAATAATTTTTGATTCCACGAAGACATAACAAGTCCATAACAGCTAAGTTTTTGTGACCAATCACATTGAAGGACGTATTGACCCCTCGCGAGTGCAATCCCCTCGAAAAATAGAGCTCTTTATGTGACAAACAGGTGTTCGCAAGTGCCCTCGGGCAATTAAGGATTAATTTCACCTTGTATTTTTTAAAGTTTTTCCCAAATTGCCCGGATCGCGCAGCGAAGGTACTTGCGATTGCATATGCAAAGGAATTAACGACAGAGATTAAAAGAAAAATATGGAAAATGGAAAATAGAAATAGGAGAAGGAAGCGTTTATAACAAACTGAAAGTGAGCGGTTTAATTAGTCTTTGCGTGCCTCTTTTGGCCTGACCATGCACGTAGTGGTGTGTTTATTTGCGTGGTGGAGAAGACCGCTGTGCGTGACAAAAATGCTGGGAGGTTATAGTGTGACACACGTGGCGGAATATTTCATTTCGTAGTTTCATTGAACCCAGGAGTTGGAATAGTTTTAGTTTTCTGATTTTCCTGTTAAGGGGACTCTTGAAAAAAACTCAGTTCATCGGAAGTAACTGACGTTTCAGAAAAATTAGCGGAAGTAACATAATGTTTAGAGTCTAAAGACTAGTTTAAGAGTCGATTGTTTTTACAATGTTTCAAAACCTGCAAAACAGTACATGCAAATTTTGACCGGAGAACAACTCAACACTCTCCTGGAATAATTACTTCCACGCAGGCTAACGCCGAAACGAAACGAAATATTCCGCCACATATGCGGGGCTATAACCTCTCAGCAGTTTTGTCACACACAGCGTTCTTCTCCACTACGCAAAAAAAAAAAAAAAACAAAAAAAACACGGCGCTATGTGCATGATCAGGCCAAACGAGGAACGCAAAGACTAATTAGACAGGCTAACGCCGAAACTGTCTGCCGCGTTCACGAACTATTCGGTCGGTCAAGAGAATAAAGGAAATTATCACCAATAAAAGAAACTCTAGATTGTTAAACAAATTCTCCTTGGAAACGTATAGAGGACAGTATAGAGAAATTGCACACTGATGTTAGGATTTGAAGAGTTAATAGAGTATAACTTAAAATTGCATGCAATCAGCACAAGTCAAGTAACTGGAATTACTGCGACTGTGTACAGTGTATCAATTGATTATCATTGGTAAATGTCACAAAAAGGGCAGCTGATTAATCTGATAGGTAATTGGGTATGTTGTACAAACATAAATATCATCAAAATTGTTAGAGAGGTTCATCTTACTTCGTCACTAAGGTAAACCAGTTGGTTGTTTACAAAGCACAGGGAAGAACATGTTTTTAAGACTTCTGAGAAACAAATCTCGTGGAGCGCCAGAGTGAATCAGTTAGGGCCTGGGAACTTTAGACATCAATTCCAGTGCCTTCACCCTAAAACTCTAAGTGGTGATTAACATGTAAATTCTCCTTACGATTCAAATATGTTATCTTGTAGAAAGAAAAGACAAACTTATGAGCTGAGGGTATTATTCTGATACAACACCAAGTTACCTCGTCTTTACGGCTTAACATGTAAATTCTCCTTCTGAATTCCGATATTTTACCTTGTAGACAGGTTATGAGAAAAGACAAGCTTATCAGTTGAGGGTATCATTCTGATATCATACTTAATTCACTAGTCGCATTTATAGAGAAATGGTAGTCGGTAGGGAGAATTACTAATTGGAGAATTACTAATTGGATCTTTGAGGTCAAATGGGTGAAGCCACCTGCCATGCGCGCCCTTTCTGCAACTTCCAGTCAAATAAAACTGAAGCAAGAAAATCCCTTTAAATTCACTTTGAAGATGATTGGTGAAAAAGACATGGATAGGTAAACTGCACATCATTCAATGAAAAGAATATACCTAATCGAGACATTCTAAGCTAACTACGTGAAACCTCTTGTACAAGGCAGAGAAATGTGAGATTCCTATTGATTAGGTCTTTTTGTTTTCCTTTTTCTTTGCTCTCTTCAGTTAAATTTCCTCTTGATAACATCAAGATCATGTTGTTGTTCTTTGCCCTGATAATGGCTGTGTCCTCCTTAAATATCTGCTCTTCCTATTCGACAAGATGAAGGGAAAAGTAGACCTCACGAAGAAAAGATAAATCTATCTTAGACTCGTTCAAGTTTCCTTTTCTGAAGATAATTTCCCTATATATCGGACTGCTATGGGGCAGAAGTCAATCTTGTGCTTACCCCAAGCCCCTGAAAGAGCTACGTGCAAGTCGTATAAGTTATCCAATTACAAATTCAGTGCGGAAGATGAAAAGTACTACATGTTTAGACCTTAAGTCACCTCTAAGAAAAAGAGGTGTCGAACGTGTTAAATTAAAAACTGAAGACTATTTTCCTGATCGGGAATTCGACATGGATTTAGCCTAAAAACGAGAGTATTAAATGGATAAAACTATAAAGGAGGGTTATTTCCAGGAAATTCTTATGCGGGATCAATTTTTATAGGGTAGAGTCATTTTCTTAGTAATTAATTATTTTTTTAGCAACATAATGAAAATATACCGGTATCTAGCCGCAAACCGCAGTTTACGCAAAAGCATCTGTTTCCATGTCAATTTCACGATCACAATAAGAAAAAGGTAACCAAACTCTATCTGTAAGGTAAGACCGCCAAAAGGAATAAGAAATGATCAACTAGCTTACTATAATGTTTACTGAATGGCTTCTACAAATATGTTATTTCCATTTGTTTTTCCAACACCAATATAGGAAACCCTTATATTTTTATCGTTTAACAATTTACACCTTTTTAAAAGCGTTTCTGCCACTTGTGTAGAAATTTTGCTTCGAAATAAATTTGTCGACTAAAGTTTTCGCTGGCATGCAGCATTTAGCATTTGAAGGATTCGTAGAATTACCTCAGAATGTATATTTTCTTCGCTACTTTGCAAGAGACTCGTATACTCCCATCTGGCGCTGTTACAATTCCTAGTGGACCTTGTAAAGGAACGGTAGTTTTGCCTGTAAAGCGACCGTCCAAAGAAAATTGCTGAACTCGGTTATTGAAATAGTCACAAACAAGAAGGTTATTTGAGCTGTCTAAACACATGCCACAGGGTCCGTTGAACTGTCCGTCTTGATTCCCTTTTTCGCCAAACTTGTATAGGAAAGTGTTTGACACATCAAATGCTTTTATGAAGTGATTGTCTCTTTCAGTTGCCAGGAAAATATTTTTGTAATGAATGCAGCTGTATGGTGTGCTGAGTTTCTTAGGACCACTGTCTCCTTTTGCGAAGAGAGCTTCGCCCTCTTTTGACATTACTTGAACTCCAATGTTATGGAATTCAGTGACAACAATACGTTCTGTCTCGTCAAGGCAAATGTTAAATGGAGTCTTGAAATGTCCTTTTCTCTCACCTTTTTTTCCAAAGGGACTGCTACAGTTCCTGTCCGGATTATGTGTTGTATTCTATGATTTAATTGATCTGTAATAAGAATTTCGTTGTTGTTTAGAAATGACATTCCATTTGGATATTTGAATTGTCCAGGATCTGCTCCGCTTTGTTTTAAACAGTTCCCTTCTTTATTGAACACAAAAACACAGTTTCCAAGATTATCTACAACAGCTATGTCGCCTTGTGTGTTTACGGCGATTCCAGTTGGTCCCTTGAACTCCTGCCCTTGGTTGAACTTCAAGTCAAATTCACCAACTACGCTAAGTTGACGTTCTTTCACTGGCAAAGTGAATGGACAGGTCGGAAGCTTTTCGCCACTAATCTTCACCTCAACGCTGTAGGAGCCAGGCACTTTGGGTGTAAACTTCAGCCTAAGATTGCCATCTCCTTTTTCTTGAACAGTCACGTTTGTGACATCTTTGGTGGGTTTTATCAGCAAGATCGGCCTGGCTAACAATCTCTCCTTGTGCTGTTTTTGGACATAACGTAAACTCTGTATCTACACTAGCTTGGAAAGTTTGATCCAGTCCTTCTACAGTTGATTTAGCTATGTTTGCCGGATTTTTGTAGAGTCGAATAAATCCCAGTTTCAAGTGTTGTAGGGATGCCAGGGTAAATTTGGCAAATGTAGTCTGGTGATGTTTAGGAACTTCAACTTCGCCAAGCTCTTGAAATTTCTGCCTCAAAGCTTCTTTGTTCTGCATGATGTCTGAACTTGAGCCTCTTTGCACCAGATTCTCCGCAAACTCAGCTGCTTGGCTCACTTGTTTTACCAGGGATTCCACTTCCTGTTTAGCCGCGTTAATCTTCTCAAGTCTCGACACGCGTGTTGTTTCCAGGGATACAATCGCTTCTCGCTCGCGGTGTCGAATGTCTACGATCATTTGTTCGGCTGTTCGCGAGACTTCTCGCTTGGCTGTTGTGAAATTTCTTTCAAGCTCAGAAATCGTTTCTTCGAACTCCTTGATGACTTGACAAAGTTGAGTTTCTTTTTCCTTGATGATCTTAGCACCAGACATGATGTTTTCCTTTTCGTCGTGTGCTGCTTTGTCAAGCAAAACGGCGTTGTGGTTTTGATGATCCGTGACAATGCAAATTGAACAAATGCAAACTTGACACTGCGAGCAAAAGAATCGCGTGATTTCTTTCTCGTGGAACTGTTGTGAACAAAATGGCTGTCGCTTCAGTAGTGCTTCGTAATCCTCTCCTTTAAAGTCTTTGACTGGCGTGAATTTGTGTCCCTCAAACGTTGCACTCAGCATTTGATGCGAATTGAAACAATCCAGGCACATGAATCGTCCGCAATCAAAGCAATAGTACATCTGAGGGTTAGTTTTCCTGCATTGGGAACAAGTAATGCTACTTGTATCACCACTTTGTCGAACGGCAAGGAGACTCAACAAACTATTGTGGAAAAAACTGATGGGCAAACGATCGAAGCGATTTCCTTCTGGTAAATCGATCACTGCCTGACACTCGGGGCATCGGAACTTTCCTTGC